TAGAAGATCAGGTGTTTCTCACATGTCAGTGGAGACTCAATGGACCTAAGGGCACGGTATGATTATATTTGAAGAAACTTTCCCCTTGATGGAGAGATCAATTATCAGGTGCATAGTATTAAGGTGAGGAGTTGGAGATTTAGAGGAGACCTGTTTTATTATTCATTCATGGGATGAGGGCATCGCTGGCTAGGCTAGCATTTATTGCCCAGAGGGCAGTTAAGAGTCAACCACGTTGCTGTGGGTCTGGAGTCACATGTAGGCCAGACCAGGAAAGAATGGTAGTTTCATCCCTGAAAGGCATTAGTGAACCAGATGGATTTTTCCGACAATCAATAATGGTAATCGTTGGACTCTTAATTCCAGATTTTTATTGAACTCAAATTCTACCATCTGCCATGGCGGGATTTGAAGCCCGGATCCCCAGAGCATTACCTGGGTCTCTGGATCAACAGTCCAACTATAATACCACTGGGCCATTGCCTCCTAAGGTGACGTGAGGAAATATGTTTTCACCCAGAGAGTGGTGGGAATCAGGAACTTATTGCCTGTACGGGTGGTAGAGCTATAAACCCTCATATCAGTTAGGGAATTAGATTTGCATTTGCAATGCCAAGGCGTACAGGGCTATACACCAAGTGCTGGAAAATGGGATTTGAATAATTCAGTGGTTATTTTGACTGGCACTGATATGATGGGCCAAAGGGCCTTTTTTCTGTGGTGTAGATCTCTGTCACTCTATGACTCTACGCAGACATAGGAGTGGGCCAGAAAATGAGTTCAGGGAGGGTAAAAAGTCGAAAATGAAAGAAGGAAGGCTCTTTATTTGAACCTATACAGCTTTTCTAAGAAGGTAGATAAATTGATAGCACAAATAGAAATAAATGAGAATAATGTGATAGCCATTATGGAGACACGGTTGTAAAAGAACTATGAACCTGAATATTTAAGAGTATTTGTCATTTGGGAAGACAAGAAGAAAAGGACATGAAATGGCTGCTTTAATAAAAGGATCAGTACAGAAATGAAAATGATCTTAGTTTGAAAGATCAAAAGATTGAATCAGTTTGGGTGGAAACAAGAAATATCAAAGTTTAGTTTATAAATGCATCAGTAATCAGCGCAGGCTTGGTTGGCTGAGGGGCCTGTTCTTGTGGTGTACTGTTCTTTATTCACTGGTCAGAGTCATTTATAGCCCCCTTATAGTAGCTACACTGAAGAAGTCTATTCATCAAGAAATAATGGCTTAGGATAAAGATGCTTGAGTAATCGTGGGCAAGTTTAACTTCATATCAATTGGACAGATTCCCGAGAGGATGAGTTCATAGAACATATTCAGTACAGTTTCTTGTCACAATATGTTCTGGAAACAACTAATGAACAGGCTATTTTAAATCTGGTGATATGGAATGAGGTAAGATTAATGACATCATAATAAAGAATCCTCCATAATAAAGAATCCACATGGGAACAGCGTGCATAATGTGATAGAATTTAACATTCATTCTGAAGTTCGGAAATTGGGTCTGAAACTTGTGTTGTGAACTTAAGTAAAGGCAATTACAATGGTGTGAAGACAAAATTGATTAAACTGGAATAGGAAAACTGGTGAAAAGGTAAAATGGTAGAGAAACAGTGGCAGACTTGAAGAAAATGAAGAATAACTCTCAACAAATATATATTTCAGTGGCAAAGATGCTGAGAATGAAACATCAGTGGCTAATTAAGGAAGTTAAAGATTGTATCAAATTGAAAAGAAAGATTCATAGTGTGCAAAGATTAGTGGTAACTCAGAAGTATTGGGAGTATTTTACAAACTAGAAAAATGGTGACTTTAAAAAAGGGAGAAATTATAAACTGAGAGAAAATATGAGTCAATTTTCAAATTGATAGAGGATTTTAGGAAAGCAGTATAACAATGGTTTATTTCATATGTACTTATGGAGAGCCAACCTTATCACCATGAAGTGTAAAACTCACTTTTTAGATTACAAAAACCCTCAATCTTTATAAAAATAAACAGCAATGTCTCACATCTGTTGTGTCTCCACAGTTTTAAAGGCATTTGAATTTAAATCTACATTTCACCCAAGGCTGTCTGTATTTTGCTGATAGTGCATCTCTTGGACCTCTACCCTACCTTCCTTCATCTGTGATTCCTATTTTATTTATATATATATATATATATATATATAATACAACTGAAAATTTAACTCTTCACTAACTGAAACTGATGCAACTCCTTCAGAAAGCTAGCAAGAAATATAAAAATGGGCAGTGAAAGCTTCTACGTGTGTATAATTACAAAAGGAGTAGCTGTTGGAGTTGGTGCCTTAGAGGATGAGACTTGGGAATTAATAGTGGGAAACAAGGAAATGTCAGAGACTTTGAACAAGTGTTTTGTATCTGTCTTCACAGTAAAAGACAAAAAAAACGCATCCCAAGAATAACAAGAAATCAAGAAGCAAAAAGGAGCAACTTAAAACAAGCAGGATCATGAGAAAAAAAAGCACAAGGAAAACTCATGGGACTAAAGGCATTGTCGGTCAACCCACAGCAAGTGGACTGCAGCAATTCAAAAAAGCAGCTCACCACCACCTTCTCAAGGGCAGCTAGGTACGGGCAATTCCTGATGGCCGGCCAACAATATTCACATCCCACAAATGAATTTAAAAAAAGTACTTTCAACCTGATGGACTGCATCTTAGTGTTATAATGAAAGTGACTGGAGAGAGAGTGGGTGCACTGGGTTGTAAACCTCCAAAATTCCTTGGATTTTGGAAAGGTTCCAGTAGATTGGAAAACTACAAATGTGGCACCTCTATTCATAGAAGAAGGAAGACAGAAAGCAGGAAACTATAGGGTATTTGGTCTATTATCTGTCAAAGGGAATTTGCTGGAATCTATTACTGAGGAGGCAGGAGCAGGACATGTGGAAACTCATAATACAATCAGATATAATCAACATGGTTTTAGTAAAGGGACATAGTTTTCAACAAATGTATTACAGTTCTTTGAAGATGTAATGAGCAGGGCAACTAAAATATGTCATCTATCTGAAGATTTCCTAAAGGCATTTGAAAAGGTGCCACATGAAAAGTTAATGCATAAGAGCTCATGGTGTTATGATCTTATGATATAACTTCCCTTTTCAGTATGGGATAAATGGCCAAGTAAAGGGGGTTGGGATCATTGTTTTTGAGAATTGTTGTTCTAAAGAAGTGAGGGGCAACAAGCTGAAACTATAGGTGGTATTAGAAACCAAATCCAAGAAACTGGCCATACACCATTGTGATAGTGTAAACTTCAGAACTTTGATTACTTCAGAGACTGAAAGTATCAGCAATAACTCTTTCTGGAATAAATTGATTCCCAAGATGAAAGGGACAAGGAGGAATTGTTCTAAAGGAATTAAAAACACCATGCTAATTAACCATCCCTGGAAAGAAGGTGTCAAAGTAACATAAACAAGCTGTTTCTTGGGAGAGAGGAGGTAACACTGCTTGATAACCTGCTTCCTCATGACAAATGAGCAATTAAGACTGCATGCAGAAGAAATGTCCTGAAGTAAATGGGAAATTTGTAAGACAGGTTGTTTTAAACAGTTAACTCCAAATGTAACAAGGACCAGGGAGTTAATTCTGATAAGAAGACAAGCTACAGACTTGAGGTCTCCAGAAGTGTAATCAGCATTGGGGATGAAAGAATCTTAAGGATCATGAATAATGTCACACCAAAAACTTGAAAGAGAGAAAGTTGTTTAAGAATTCAACTCCAGAACTCTCCCTTAGCAGATCTTCAAAGAACAACACTGCACAAGGATCAAACCCTGCACACATCCGAAGACAGACAAAGATTGGATTTGTAGCTAAATTTCACCATTTTTTGGATAATAACCAGGTTGGGTTGTGAGGCTTAACTTGCATACTTGAGAGGTCTTATTTTGGTTGTTACCTGTACTAAAGTTTAAATCATTGCTTCAGTAATTGATTGTCTTTGAGATTTCTTAATAAATAGCCGAATTGAAAGTAACTAGTGATTTACACACACCATGAATAAGATGAAAATACAAAGAATTCACAGCACAGATAAAGCCTTCTTAGTCCATTGACCCATGCTGGAATATATATTCCAATCAAGGCTTCTCTTACTCTTCACTGAACCCCGATATCATTTCCCTATTTTGTTCATTCATGTACTTTCTGCCTTCCCCTTAATAATATTCACCTCAGATGGGAATGAGTTCCATCTTCTCACTATTTTGGCTCTGGCTACCATGCTGCAATGGTGAGTACGCTGGTCTCTGAATCCTGTGATCTGAGTTCAAATCTAGGTGGAGCATTCTTCCTGGTGAAGGGAGTGATGAGCCTTGGAACGTCTTAGGGTGGAGGTAGCTATTATGAGGGGACATAGTTTTAAAGTGAGTGGAGGTAGATATAGAGGAGACATCAGAGGTAGGTTCTTTACTCAGAGAGTGATCGGGGTGTGGAATGCATTGCCGGAGAGGGTAGTGGAGTTGGCCTCATTAGGGGCATTTAAGTGGCTATTAGATAGGCATATGGATGACAGTATAAGGTAGGGGTGGAGGTTAGATAGACCTTAGGTTTAGGGTAAAAGTTTGGCACAACATCATGGGCCAAAGGGCCTGTACTGTGCTGTACTGTTCTATATTCTGTGTTCTATTCTCTGGGTAAGAAACCTCCCTTAAATTCACTATTGGATTTATTAGTGGCAGTCTTTAAGTTAAGGCTATCTAGTTTTGGTTCTATGAGTGGAAACATTTTCTTTGCATCTAGCCTATCAAATCCCTTCATGAATTTTGAAGCCCTTCTAGGGTTTTTGTGATGTCACCTTGTCAACTATGTCAAAATCCAGTTTATGTAATAAAAGAAGATGTCACAGTTGGTTTGAGGCTTTTATAAACGAGGGGGACCTGGTAACCTACAGTGAGAGGGGACTCGGTGCTAAGACCCTGGTTTCGGTGTGTGTCCTGGAGGGGTATGTCTGACGACGCTGAAAGGTGCTGTAAAGAGCTAGAAGTGCGGCAGACTGTTTTTGGGGAGCTGCTGGAGAAAGTGGCTGTGAAGAGGTTACTGGGTCCAGTATACCGCAATTGGGAGCCACTCATTTACCATACCCTATCGCACATCCTCCGCCACGTCGACGCACCGGGTTTTGATTCCCTCCTCTCTGATTACATCACTTTTGTCCACCGGCCCCGGGACAAGAGGACCCTCAGTTTCTACTTGGAGTTCACAGAGATCTGCATCAACACCATCCTGTACTGGCTGTTTGCCCGTAAGGTCAGCTCCCTGTTGGTGCAAAAACTACTGGAGAAAACTGTCAGCTATCTGGGAGACAGGGGCAACCAGCTGGGATTGATCTGGAGGTAATTTACTGGTGATTACTGACAGTCCTTATGTAATTCCATCCAATCATCCACTTCTGATTGTGCTTTTGAATGTAGACCATTCGTTATCCTCTTTTAAAAGAAGAAAAACTTGCATTTATACTGTAACTTCCACAGTATCTGGGCCGAGTGATATTATCCCTAGACTATTAATCTAGAGACTAATGTTCTGGGTACCTGGGTTCAAATCCTGCCATGGCAGATGATGGAATTTGAATTCAATAAAAATCTGGAATTAAGGGTGCAGCATTTATTGCCCATCCCTAATTGCCCAGAGGGCAGTTAGGAGTCAACCACATTGCTGTGGGTCTGGAGTCACATATCAGTCAGGCCAGTAGTTTCCTTCCCTAAATGACATGGGGGAACCAGATGGAACTTTCTGACAATTGACAATAGTTTCATGTTGAAAAATATTATTGCTGGGTGGGAACAATAAAGCAGAAACTAGCCAGCAATGCCCACACCCCTGAATGAATTTTTAAAAAGTGATTTTCAATGAAATGCTTTTTTGAAGTATAGTCACTATTGTAAAGTAGAAAGTGCAGCAGTCAATTTGCACACAGCAAGATGCCAACATCAACAATGTGATAACGACCAGATTATCTGATTTCAGTGACAGATAATTATTGGTCAAGCCACTGGGGTGACCTCTTTTGCTCTTTTACATCCACATGACATGACATACAGGGCAGTTGTCTAATATCTTATCCTGTAGATTTGCGCAACCAACCCAACCACCACACCTATACACCCCACCCTTCACCACCACCACCCTCACACAGTGAAGTACTCTCGAAGTAACCGAACTGATTTATCAGTAAAGATTTTCATGTTCAAGATGCTGTTATGGGGCTTGAAATCAACCTTCTGACTCAGCCACAGATGCCAATTTCATGCAACAGTCCTCATCTGGCCATGCTTTTGAGGTTGGGTGTATTAATTATATTTTATTGTGTTAATTATTGCGTTCATGTGAGATACTTTGTTTTCCTATGTTAAAGACATTACATAAATGCACATTGCTATTATTTTGTTGATCAATTGAGTCTTACACAAAAAGCTGTAAGTTTATGATTGTTTCAAACACAATTAAACCTCACAATGGGAGAATCAAACAGGTACTTATTCTGCATCTGAGAACACAGCAGTTATTTTCAGTTTCAGCCAGCCTGGCTCCAACTGGAATACTTCTGCCCAACGGAGGGCTGTGTGAACATGTGTGTGCAGGCCGAGATTGAGCATTCCTGCTGACAACTGACACACTGAAAGTTCAGGAAAGAAGTCATACACTCTACCCAAGAAATCTTCCTCCCTTCTCTGCCCAGCATTGTTTTAAACTAGAAGTGAAATCACAAAATGACAAAGAGTAGGCCATTCAGCCCATTGGGCTATGCTAGCTCTTTGAAAGAGTTATCATTAATTCTCCCCCTGCCCTTTCTCTATCATCCTCCAAAATTTTCTTTTGGAAGTTTTTAATCTAATTCTCTCGACCTTTCAAGTGGTGCATTCCAGACTGTAATAGTCCAATGTATCATAAAAGGTTTCCCTGTGTTGCCTCCAGTTCCTCTGCCAATGACCTTGTCTATGCCCTGTGGCTACCAATTCTTGACCCCACTGAAACCATTTCTCTATTTATTTTATCAAAACCCCTTAATACATTCATATTATCCTCTTAACCACTCTTTGTGATGGTCAGTTCCATATCCTCATCGTTTTTTGAGGAAAGGCATTTCTCCTCTTTTTTCTAGGGAAGCATATGTCTAAGAGGATGGGAACTGACAAAGCCCTTGAAGTAAATAAGGAAATAACTTAAATAAGGAATTGGAAGGGCTAAAAGGAGAATCCCAAGGCTTTTTATACATATATAAAAAGCAAGAGAGTTGCCAAGGAAAGGGTTGGCCCACTCAAGGACAAAGGAGGGAATCTATGTGTGGAGCCAGAAGAAGTAGGTGAGGTTCTTAATGAACACTGTGTTGGAATTCACCAAAGAGAAGAAATTGGTGGAGGATGATGTCAGGGAAGGGAGTGTCGAATCTCTAAGTCAAGTTGCTATTAAAAAAAGAGGTGTTCTGCATCTTAAGTTGTATTAAGGTAGATAAATCCCTGGGTCCTGATGGGATCTATCCCAGAATATTGAGGGAGGCAACAGAACAAATTGCTGGGGCATTAACAGACATCTTTGTATCCTCTTCAGCCACAGATGAGGTCCCAGAGGACTGGAGAATAGCCAATGTAGTCCCATTGTTTAAAAAGGGTAAGGGGGATAATCGTGAAAATTACAGGCCTGTGAGCCTCATATTGGTGGTAGCAAAATTATTGGAAAAGAGTCTCAAGGACAAGATCTGTATGCATTTAGAAGCTAATGGGCTTATTACCAATAGACAGCATGGTTTTATGAGGGAGAGGTCATCCCTCCCTATCTTGATCAAATTTTTTGAGGAGGTGCTGAAAGCAGTTGATGTTGTCTACATGGACTTCAGTAAAGCCTTTGACAAGGTCCCTCATGGCAGACTGAAGTCACATGGTATAAGGGGTAAGTTAGCAAAATGGGTACAGAACTGGCTTAGTCATAGGAGACAAACAGTAGCAATCAAAGGATGCTTTTTGGAATTGAGGGTTGTGACTAGTGGTGTTTTACAGGGATCACTGCTGTGACGTTTGCTGTTTATGGTCTACATAAATGATTTGGAGGAAAATATTGCTAGTCTAATTAATACGTTTGCAGACAATACAAAAATTGGTGGAGTTGCAGATAGTGAGGAGGATTATTAGAGGATAAAGCAGAATATAGATCAGTTGGAGGCATGGGCAGAAAAATGCCAGATTATGTTTAATACGGACAAATGTGAGGTAATGCATTTTGGAAGGTCAAGTACAGGAGGCAATTATACAGTGAATGGCAGTACCCTTAGGAGTATTGATATGCAGAGGGATCTGGGAGTGCAGGTCCACAATCACTGAAGGTAGTAGCACAGATAGATAAGGTAGTAAAAAAGGCCTGTGCTATGCTTGCCTTCATTGGAAGGCGCATTGACTATAAGGATGGATAAGTTATGCTGCAGCTTTGTAGAACTTTAGTTAGGCAATACTTGGAATATTGCATACAGTTCTGGTTACCACATTACCAGAGGATGTGGATGCTACAGAAAAGGTTTACCAGGATGTTTCCTGATATGGGGGATTTTAGCTATGAAGAAAGGTTGGATAGACTGGGTTTGTTTTCGCTGGAACACAGGAGGTTGAGGGGCGACCTGAAAGATGTTTATGAGATTGTGAATGGCATGGATAGAGTGGAAAGTACGAGACTTTTTCCCAGGTGGACGGGTCAATTACTAGGGGACATTGATTCAAGGGGCAGGGGAAAGTTTCAAAGAGATGTGCGAGGCAGGTTTTTCACACAAAGGGTGGTGAGTGCCTGGAATGCACTGCCAGAGGAGGTGGTGGAAGCAGACACAATAACAGCATTCAAGAAGCACCCAGACGAATACATGAATAGGAAGGGAATAGAGGGATAAGGATCCTGTAACTGATGACAGTTTTAGTATGGAAGGGCAAAATGTGTCAGCGCAGGCTTGGAGCCCAAAGGGCCTGTTCCTGTGCTGTATTGTTCTTTGTTCTCATCGGATGTATTACTAATTGTTTTTTGTTATGACTCCTAATTTGCCTCCACCTGACAAGTATGAAATGTCACAAGAAGTAGCTTGCTTTAGCCAATCACAGTGACAATGGAGCAGAGTTCTGCCTCATACACACTTGTTTCCTCATCTGTAGTTAGTTCCCTGTGCAAAAAAGCCATGAATAGAACTTTCATGAGAAACCTATGCCAACAATGTTCTTTTTTTTAAGCATGTTTTCACAATTAAAATAAATGATCTGATTTTAAAAGCAAATGCTTTAACTGTCATCATGGTATTCATTCAAACTTCAACCTTAATTCCTTCCCTCTCTGATTCTCTATTCCTCCTCTATCTTTTGGCCCAAACTTTTGTATAATTTTGTATAATTTGTATACTGAACCTATTCTAAGGTAATTCCCCTTTTTACTTTGATTTCAAAATAACAGTAAATGAACACAACGTTAAATGAAAGAATCATTACAACATTCAAAAATATAAAAGTAAGTTTTTTTTTATTTCATTCATGGCGATGTGGGCATTGCTGACTGGGCCAGCATTTATTGCCCATTCCTAACTGTCTTTGACAAAATGGTGGTGACTGCCTTCTCGAACCACTGTTGACAATTTGGTATAGGTAGACCCACAATGCCATTAGAGAGGGAGTTCCAGGATCGTTAGCCAGCAACACTGTTAATCTATGCATCAGTTTCTCATTGGCATTTGGATAACATGCACAATTCTTTTTTAAAAATGAAGCAAATATTAAACTATAGTAGAAGCCACTTCTAACGTGTTATTACTAAGTGGGTTTCTGAATTTCCTGTTTGCATTTCAGAACTTTCACACCAGTGTACAATCCAAGCCCACTGAGCGGTGTGACCCCCTTACACTTTGTAGCTCAAAACAGGCAGTCAGACATTCTGAAGATTTTACTCCAGTATGGGATACTAGAGAGGGAGGAAAGTCCCACGTCCACAATCCTCATCATCCTCTTCTATCCAACATCAGTAGCAAGGGTGCATGACCTTGAGTCAACAAAAATAATAGAGGAGGCAAAACTGTGTCTCGGTTTATGCGTTAGAGTGGTGTATCGCATTAATGTCGCACAAATTAAGGTACGTTCTGCTGGCGGCTGTGCAAGACTCCTTTTGAGTTACGTGTTTGTTTTCTCATAGACCAAAGGCCTCCCTGCATCCCTCCCTGCCTCTGAAAGCTCCTCCAATTCTATAATCACCAGGTTCTCTGTGCTTCTCCAATTCTTGTACATTGCTGACTTCTAACATTCCTCAATTCACAGCCTTGCCTTCTGATGCCTGGATCCTACGCTTTGAAGTTTACTCCATAAACCTCTCTCTCTTCTGCTTTAAGACTCTCATTATAGACAATCCTTTTGACCAAACTTCTGGCCACATGACGTATTTATATCAATTTACATGGCTCAGTGTCAAATTCTGCAAAACACTCTGGTTAAACATTTTGGGGCATGATATGATGTAGAGACACTATAAAAATGCAAGCTGTTGTTTTAAGCTTGATGGTTCTTTAGCTATGTACCTACAAAGACCATAAGAAATAGGAACAGGAATAGGTCATCTGGCCAATCATGCCTGCTTTGCCATTCGATAGAATCATGGCTGACCTGACACTCCTGACGTTCTCTTTCCTTCCTTTCCCCTGTAACCCTGGATTCCCCAACTGATCAAGAATCTGTCCTTAAATATACACAAGGACCATACCCCCACAGCTCTCTGTGGCAAGGAGTTCCAAAGATTCACAATCTCAAAGAGAAGGAATGCCTACTCATCTGTCTTAAATTTGCACCCCTTAATTCTGAGACTATTCTCTTGGGTCCTGAATTCTCCCATGAGGGGAAACGTCCTATCGGCATTTTCCCTGTCGAGTCCCTTAAGAATCTGATATGTTTCAAAACTCCATTGAGTGGAGTCCCAACCTGTTCAGCCTTTGCTCATAAGACAAGCCCTCCATACCAGGGATCATCATAAGACCATAAGACATTGGAACAGAAATTAGGCTATTCAGCCCATCGAGTTTGCTCTGCCATTCAATCATGCTGATAAGTTTCTCAACCCCATTCTCCCGCTTTCTCCCCGTAACCCTTGATCCCCTTGACAATCAATAACCTATCTATCTCCATCTTAAGTATACTCAATGACCTGGCCTCCACAGCCTTCTGTGGCAGTGAATTCCACAGATTCACCACTCTCTGGCTGAAGAAGTTTCTCCTCATCTCTGTTCTAAAAGGTCTTCCCTTTACTCAAAGGCTGTGCCCTCGGGTCTTAGTCTCTCCTACCAATGGAAGCATCTTCCCAACATCCACTCTGTCCAGGCCATTCAGTATTCTGCAAGTTTCAATTAGACCCACCCCCCACCATCCCCGCTCATCCTTCTAAACTCCATTGAGTATAGACCCAGAGTCCTCAGACATTCCTCATTTATTAAGCTTTTCATTCCTGGGACCATTCTTGTGAACCTCCTCTGAACCTGCTCCAGGGCCAGTACATCTTTCCTGAGATATGGGGCCCATCCTCGTGAACCTTCTGTGAATTGCCTCCAATTAAATAGTATCTTTCCTTAAATAAGGGGACTAAAACTGCTCACATACTCCAGATATGATCTCACCAGCACCTTGTACAGTTGCAGTAAGACTTCCCTACACTTATACTCTGACCCCCTTGAAATAAGGGCCAACATTTCATTCACCTTCCTGATTCCCTGCTGCACTTTTTTTTTGTGTTTCATGCACATTATACCCTCAAGTCCATTTGTGTTGCAGCTTTCTTCAGTTCTTTTTCTCCATTGAAATAATACTCTGCTTTTTTGTTCTCCCTTCTGATATGAACAAATACCTGGAAAATGCTTAGTTCCCATATGGAGAGGGAATTCCACTGCCTGTGGTATGCTGGAAATATTCTTAAAAGAGGTAGGTGGGGATTGCAGCTATGATGGTGTAATTGTGTAGAACTAAGGGTGAACAGGTTCCAGTAGGATGCCCCACCTCACCCTGTCTTTCTCTATTGAGGGAACCCTGCCACTGGCCCTTCTTTTGACTAAAGTTCCCAATGTAGCCTTGATTAGCCCATATCTTTCTGGTATGAATGGAGAGAAAGAGAGAGGACCATCAGGGCAGCATTCCCCAAGCTACAAAAATTGATGACTGAATTTGTGACCCACTGACATATTTAGAGACCATAGAATCATACAACTCCAAGGAAGAGTGTTAATACTATTATGTCTGTTCTGGTTCTATCCTGTGTGGTCCCTCAGTCCAGTTTTCTCCCCCATCAACCTTGCTTATTAGCCTTCTTTAAGCACATATCCAAATACTTTCTGGAAACTATACAATTTCATTTCATCACCCTTTCAGATATTGTATCTAGCTCTTAACAATTCCTTGTTAAGATTCTTTTGTACTTCCCCAGTTTTTTTTTTGAACATTTTTTAAAAATAACTGACCTTTGGTTTATTGATCCACACGCCAGAGAAACATCCTGATGTCATCATTTAGGTAGGAAGAGAGAAACAGGGGAGGCACGGTAGCTTAGTGGTTAGCATTGCTGCCTCACAGCACCAGGGACCCATGTTCAATTCCACCCTCAGGTGACCGTCTGTGTGGAGTTTGCATATTCTTCCCCATGTCTGTGCAGGTTTTCTCCGGGTGCTAAAACTGAGAACATTGGAGAAACTAAGCAAATCTGGTGGCATCTCTGGAGAGCGGGAAAAACAGTTAATGCGTCAAGTCTGGTATGGCCCTTGGACTGTTAAGGAAAAAGTCATATCAGTCTCCAAACATTGACTCTGTTTCTCTATCCAAGATGCTGCCAGACTTCCTGAGACTCTATTTGTTCACAGGATATACATATTGCTGGCAAGGACAGAATTTATTGTCCATTCCTAATTCCTTTTGAGAAGATGGTGATAAGTCACTTTCTTAAATTGTTTCAATCCTTATGGTACGGTTACACAAAACAACAGGGCTCTTAAGTAGGGGAAAATGTGGAGAGGAGCAAGCACAGAATACAGAGAATAATGTGGGTATCAGGCATGGACTGGCTTGGGGCCTTGCTGGTTTGCTGCTCTTCATGAGTGAACTGACTGACAACAGTGGCAAGGTTCGAAGCTTAAAGTTTTCTCCAATATGCCAGAGAATAACCAGTGTCTGCAGAATACTTCCCCAACACAGATAAAAAGTCCCAATGCACTACACAAGAGTACACTATACAGGCAACACAAGAAGATATTAGGGCTGATTGCCAAAAGCTTAGCCAAAGAGTTAGGTTTAAGGGACATGTTGAAGAAGGAGAGAGGGGCAAAGAGGTTTAGAGGGCAAGTTTCAAAATCTAGGGCCTGGGTAGCCGAAGTTACACCCACCAATGTTTAAACTTAGTAATCCTCAAGATGCTAGAACTGGGAAAGTACAGATCTCAGAGAGCTGGAGGAGATTCTAGAGATAGGCAAGGGCCCAGGCTACGGAGGGATTTGAAAACAAGCTATGAATTTTAAAATCAACCCATTATTAGACTCCTTCAAAAAGAAAGTGGAGACACAGCTTTATGGCAGGAAAAGATGTACAGAAGGATCAGGATATTAAAGGCAGATACCAAATATAATGCATTCCCCTTCTTCTGTTTTCAGGCGTATATTAGTTTTAGACGGCAACCTCTCGTTTCTAACTGGTTGGATTACATTCCTGTGACAAGATATCAAGAGCCTTGTGAGCTCCTTCACCTTTGCAGAATGTCTATTAGAAGCTCCCTGCTAGCCAATAGTGGGCTGCCTAAAGGAATTTCTTTGTTGCCGCTACCCAAATTGCTTCAGAATTACTTGAATTTGGAAAGATAAAGATGAAGAAATCTGCCTCCTCCCCACCTACCCACTCTCTTGGCCGCCAGCCTGTTTTAACAGATTGGGGACCAGGACAACAGAGAGAAGAAAAAAATCCTGACCCTTCAGGAGAGAAAAAAGAACCAATTCGTTATTACAGCATTTACATCGCGTTCTATCGCTGCACAACATGCAATAAACTCAATTTCCAGCAATTTTTGCAGTTGTTTTATTTTTTCCTTACCAATGCTTTGGAAAGGCTTTCACACTTTGCACAGAAACTGAAATGACAGAATTCAAAAGAAGAGAATCATTTACAAATTTTAAATTTGTACTATGTCAAACCTGACCTAAAACATTACACCTAGAATTCTCTGGAGTGGAGTATCCGGTGGTATATGCCAGTCAATTTGGGCATTTCCCTTCACCCTTCAGCTTGATACAATTCACACCACAATTGCTGCATGTGCAAGCTGGTGACAGCATAGTGTGGGGGCAGTGGGACGCATCTGTTTCCTGAGTCAATGAAATTGAAGATTAATTAATTGAAAGTGGAAAGACCAGAATCAATAAGGTATTGAGACTAAAATCTGAGACAGAAAGAGAAATAAAGACAGAAGAAATAACAATAGACTAAAAGAGAGAAGGCAGAAAGGACAAATATTTTTTTTAAAATGCCAACAACAATTTACAATCTGTAGGAATGAAACACCACACTTTAAACTGTTTCACTTCTGAGCCTTAGAAGTTAGGTAGCATAACTAAAAGGTAAATCTCATCAAAAAAAAGGTACTTAATCAGCTGCCATGACTCTCTTCAGTGAGGTAAATGGGTAATTGATGTACAAACGTAACAACTTCATAAAACTCACGGAGGTTATGGGTGAACCGCTGTACATATAAGACTGATAGCAGAGCACTGGAAATCAGCCAGTGATTTGTGGTGATTCCTAGTTCTCTCTTCCTTGCCAGAAATCCAGGGTGCATCACACATTAATTGCACCTTTATTTTGGCAGTAAATCTGGGCCAACATTTTTTTTCAAATAACCACAACATTTTGGAGCGTTCGTTATTGAATGGTTCCATTCTTGATCAGAACTAACTTGTTCTCAGAGGGATGTATCTGCTTGTGGAGACTGTTGAGCTGCGAGGCAGTCTGCTTCGTACCTTTTCCGGAGGCCCATTAGGTACATTCTCAACCGATCTGGATCCAAGCATGAGTTTCTTGCTGTCTGCACTAGTCTGGTGGCTAGGTGATGCATCGCTCTCTGCTGCAGTGATTCAACAGTGTTTCTCTGTTTACGCTGCAAGTTAGCAAAAAACACAAAGTCAAAAATCAGACTACTATCACAGGTTGTCACATTTATAAGATCAGTCATGGTTCAATGGGCAGCAATCTCATCTGAGTGAGATGGTCGTGGAATTAACTCCCAATCAAGACACAAGCTCATAATCTAAACTGACATTCGCAGTATTGTACTGAGGTGATGCAGTATTGCACTGATAGAGTGGAATGTATTTCAGATGAAATGCTGTCTTAGGTAGAAATAAAAGAACCCAAGACACTACATGAAGAGCAGAGGAGTTCTCCCCAGCCCAATATTGTCTCCCAACCAACATCAAAGAAGTAATGTGGTCATTTTCACATTGCTGTTGTGGGATCTTACTGTACACAAACTGGCTACTGGATTTCCTACATTACAACTGTTACTACACTTCAGAAATAACAGGCTCTAAAATTCTTTGGGATGACCTGAAGTTTTGTAACGTGTTACATAAATTAAAATCTTATTTTCTTCAAATACTGTGGCAGAGAAATGGGGCCGAAGGGAAGAAATTTGCTCACCACGACTGGTGGAGAGTGCCATTATATTAAGTTAATCTCCAATCGCAAGCAACATCCAGATGAAAGTAATTGATTTTCTGAGCAGCTTGTTATTTGTAAAAATGGTAAACATGATAAAATTAAGTATCAAGTATCATCTAATCACTCAATAGAGTGATCATTCGCTTTGCACTTTGGTACTGGAAGGCAAGAAGTCACAAGCACAGGCCTACCAGGAGACCGGTATTGGGAAGCTGATGGAGCAGGATGACACAAGGGTGGAGCCGATGGGAGACCAATGCCAGGAGCATGAAGGCAGAGTGTTAGTTGAATGGCATTGTTGGGAGACCAATGTGAGGCTAATGGAGGGGTTCAAACTGATATGAGCTTAGATGACCTATGATGAGATTACCAGAGATCAGGATGGTTGGAGGTGGGAGATCAGGTAATGAAAAGACTCACTTAAAATGTTGGCAAACCTCAACAGCATTAAAGTGTGTTTTCTGCACATATATATTTCTACAATATTTATTGTGATGCAAATGCTTTTTAAGTACAAAGGTAAAGTATAATTTTCTCATCTGATGGGCTATCCATTATACAATACTACTTTGGTAACCTTGGTTTAAATCATGCTTACCCATATTTGTTTGGTAATGTGAGAAGCAATTTCTTTAGCATCGAGTACTATTGATGGGGGAAGAGATGAAACCTCAGCGGCCTTCAAACCTCATGCAAAAAAAGGACAAAAAAGATATTAAGGAAGAGAATTATATGACTGATCATTGCATTCAAAGTAGTACAATGTGGGACCAATAGTTCAAGGACACATTGACTAGCACTGTTGTGTTACAGTGCCAGGTACCCAGGTTCAATTTCAGCACTGGGTGACTGTCTGTGTGGAGTTTGCACATCCTCTCCATGCCTGCGTGAGTTTTCACTGGGTACTCTTGTTTCTGCCCAGAGTCCAAAGATATGCAGGATAGGTGGATTAGCCATTGTAAAAGCGGCATTATGAGGATAGCCATGGTGGGTGCTGGGCGTGGGTTGGTCTGGGTGGGATGCTATTCGGAGGGTCAGTGCAGACTCAATGGGCCAAATGGATTCTATCTGCACTGTTGGGATTCCATATTTCTATGGAATGAACTAAAAAGTACAAGCAGTATTTGAAAACAAAGAAGTTTGAATAAACAAGTGTTATAACTAAGCTAACTCTGGCTGTGAATTTAATTTCAGAAATGTCTTTGTCATCTTTTCCATTGTGTTACTTTTCACCTTGGTTTTGATTAACCTTTCTCTGCATGTTCAAGTAAGCGAATATGTTTTAAATATTTAATTCTCAGGGTGTAGCTGTCAGGGGTAACGTCAATTCATTGTCCATTCCTAATTTCCCTAGAAAAGTGCTTGTGAGCCACCTTCTTAACCACTGCAGATCACGTGGTGAAGGTGCTCCCATGGTGATATCAGGGAGAAAGTTGCAGGATTCTGAATAGGAATAGTGAAGGAACCATCAATATATGGTAAAGGCAGACTGCTATGTGATTTCAAGTGGACAGCATATGCATGTATCTGCTGTCCTTGTTCTTTCAAGTAGCAAAGGTTCTTGATTTCGGAAGTCCTGTCAAAGAACTCAGACCAAATTACAGCAGTGTGCCCTGCAGCCACAGTCCACTTAAACTGAAGGGTTTGGATGATTAAGGTGCTGGATGGAGTCTAGATTTGCACAGCTCGAAACTTGTTAGCATGGATAGAATCATAGAATTTTACAATGCAGTAGACCATTTGAACCACTGTGTCTGTACTGGCTCCAGAAAGAGCTGCCCAGCTAGTCCCACTCTCCAGCCCTATCTCCATAGTCCTCTAAATGTCATCACTTTCAAATGTATCTCCAGCTCGCTTTTTTAACCTCCTTTGGCATCAGCTCCACCACTCTCCCAGGCAGAGCATTCCAAATCCTAACAACTCTCTGAGTAAAGATGTTTCTCCTCATTTCACTCCTAACTCTCTTGCTTACAATCTTGAAATTGTCCTAGTTATTGATATGCCAACTAGTGGAAGCCGAATAACCTTCTTTACCCTGTCAACATCGTTCATAATTTTGAACCCCTCAATAAGGTAAATCTCTCTAATCTTTCTTTGTATCTAAAATCCCTCATTCCTGGTAAATCTAGTAAATCTTCCAGTAAATCTCTTTTGAATTCTGTCCCGGTCTTTAACATCCTTCCTTAAATAAGATGCCCAGAATTATACACAATACACCAAACGTGGTCTGACCAATGATTTGAAGAGGTGTAGCATCACTTCCTTACTTTGATACTCTATGCCTCTATTTATAAACCCAACAATCCTGTAAGTCTTCTTAACAACTGGTTCCACTTGCGTGGCCACCTTCAATTGTGCACATGAAGCCCAAGGTACCTCTGCTTCTGTACTCCCCTCAAGCTTGTACCATTGAGCCTGTATTTCTCTGTGTTTCTTCTACCAAAATGCATTACCTCGCATTTCTCTGCATTGAAATTCATCTGCCGGGTGTCTGCCCATTTGGCCAACTTGTCGATGTCCCTCTGAAGTCAATCAGCATCATCCTCACAATTCACTATTCTCCCTGGCTTAGTATCATCTGACAATTTAGAGATTTTGCCCTCAACACCCATCTCCAAATCATTTATATAAATCAGAAAAAACAAGGGTCCCAACACTGATTCTGGGGAACATCACTTTCAACCCATCTCCAATCTGAGAAATGCCCATCAATACTTATTCTCTGTTTCCTATCTCTTAGCCAACTCTAGTCCATGTCGCCAAGGACCCATCAACCCAAACATTTCTAATCTGCTAACCAGCCTGCCATGTGGTACCGTATCAAATGTTTTCCGAAAGTCCAAATGTGCAACCTTTACAGCATTACACCCATCCACTGCTTGTGTGACATCATCAAAGAACTCATTTAAATTTGTCCTGCCTTTGACAAAGCTATGTTGACTGTCTAATGTTAACTTATTTTTCTCTAATTGTGTATTTACCTTGTCCCGTATTATGGCCTCCATCAGTTTCTCCACCATTGATGTCAAGCTGACAAGTCTGTAGTTTCCTGGGTTATCCTTTAACCCTTTCTTAAACAATGGTGTCACATTTGTAATCCTTCAGTCTCTCGGAACTAATTTTGAGTTCAGAGAGGCCTGGAAAATTTCTGTCAATGGCTCTGCAATTGCTCCTTTAACTCTCTCATCAACCTGGATGCATCCCACCTGGGCATGGTTTCTCCTCTACCTGCAGTGCTGCCAGCCTTTTTAGCACGTCTTCTTTATCTATCACTATAACGTTCAGTTGCTCAACACCCATGTTTTTAACTAGGCCATTTTTACCATCTTCTAACTTGGTAAAGACAGATGCAAAATATTCATTCAGTACCTCTGCCATATCCTTTGCTTCAGTAAGAAGCTTACCCTGCTTGTTCCTAATGGGCCCCACTCTATCCTTCACAAATCTTTTACTGTTAATATGTTTCAAGAACATTTTACTACTTGTTTTGCCATCCTTTCCTCACGCTTCCTCTTAGTCTTCCTTATTCCAGCTTTAGCCTCTCTCCTGCATTTGAGATACTTTTCCTGATTTCTACTGCAATTATTATTCTGATATACATCATATTCCTCCTCTTCCTTCCTTATTTTCTCATCAATATCCTTAGTCATCTTGCGTACTCTAGTTTGGATACCCTGTATTTATTTCTTATGGATATGTACCTAGCTTGCACTCTATTTGATTCCCTTTTGGAATTCTCCCATTTTTCATTCATCAAAATGCGTTTCCAATCAACCTGCTCCAATTCAACTTTTAGACCCCCAAAATCTGCCATTTTCCAGTCTGGGATCTTTGTCATTGACTGATTTTTATTCTTTTCCAATTTAATATTGAAACTAAATTTTATAACTATTGCTATTTCCCAAATGCTCCCTCATTCTGATGTTCTCCACTTGGCCTGTCTCATTTTCTTGGACAAGATCCAGCACAGCCCCTTAACCGGTAGGACTGGAAATGTACTGATTCAGAAAGTTTTCTTGCACACGTTGCAGGAATTTCTCACCTTCCATGTCCCACACTCTACCTTTTTCCTAACCTACCTTAGGGTAATTTATATCAGCAACTATCACAACCCTACTTGTCCTGTAGGTTTCCATAATTGGCCTACAAATGCTGTCTTCTGTTTCCTCCTTACTAATTAGAGATCTATAATCAATAATAAACCTAACAAGATCACTGCTCCCTCTCTGTTTCTCACCTCCAACCATATATGTTCTAAATATGAATTCTGAAGTCCTTGGGCCATTTTCTTTGGTGCTGTTCTTCATTTTCTAAAGTGTGCATTGCTAGTAAGATCATCAATTATTACTTATTCTCAACTGACCAGGTGAGAAACAAGGTTTTATGTCGAGAGAGTGTGTTTTCCTGTTTCATGTTCCCAACATTCAGTCTTGTCCATGTGAAACACAAATCAGGCAATCATGCAAAACAGGAAATCACACAGACACAAGCCTTTGATCATCCATCCATTAATAAATGCAAATTACAGGCTGCATACACATTAAGATAGACTAACCTGTATTCTGTTGAGTATAGATTAAGGGTAATCTCAAGATTTGTTAGACTATAAAGAATTTCATAGACGTAATCGGAGGGTGAGAATACAGTGGTAGTGTCCTGACCTATGAGCCAAAAGCTCTGGATTCAAGTCCCACACCAAGACTTGTTGGCCATAGAAGGTCCACAACATGGCCAAAGAGATTGACAGTCAGCCGTAAATCCTTCCAATGTGCCTTATGGCCAGAGAGGAGATATTTGCAGCCTTAAAGTGCATTAAGCTGGATAAATCCCAGGGCCTGATCAAGTCCATCCTTGGAAGTTGTGGGGAAGCTAGGAAAGAAATTGAAGAAACCCTTGCAGAGATTTTGCTTCATCTTTAGCCATTGGTGAAGTTACTGAAGACTGAAGGATGACAAATGTTGTTCCATTGTTTAAAAAAGGTAGCAAAGACAAGCCAGGGAATGACAGGCCAGTGAGCCTGACATCAGTAGCAGGCAAGTTATTGGAGAAGATACTATGGGACAGGATCAACCAACATTTGGATAGTCAAGATCTGAGCAGGGATAGTCGGCATGGATTATTGCATGGGAAGTCATGTCTGACAAATCTTTTCGAGTTTTTTGAAGAGGTAACCAAGAAGGTGGATGAGGGTAGGGCAGTGGGTGTTGTCTATATGAACTTTAGTAAGGCCTTTGACAAGCTCCCGCATGGCAGGCTAGTCATGAACATTAGGTCGCATGGGATCCAGGGAGAGCTAGCTAATTGGATTCAAAATTGGCTTGATGGCAGGAAGCAGAGGGTAATGGTTGAAGGTTGTTTCTTGGAACGGAGGCCTGTGACTAGTGGTGTGCCACAGGGGTCGGTGCTGGGAGCTTTGTTATTTGTTATTTACATAAATGATCTGGATGTGAATGTACAAGGCATGATTAGTAAGTTTGTGGATGATACAATATTAGGAGGTATTGTTGATAGTGAAGAAGGTTATGAAAAATTACAGAGGGATCTTGATCAGATGGGGAAGTTGGCTGAGCACTGGCAAATGCAATTCAATGCAGTTAAGTGTGAGTTGTTATGCTTTGGAAAGTCAAACTAAGGTAGGACTTACACAGTAAATGGTAAGGTCCTGAGGAATGTTGTGGAACAGAAGGACCTAGGAGTACAAGTACATAGTTTGTTGAAAGCGGCGTCACAGGTGGACAGGGTGGTGAAGAAGGCATTTAGCATGTTGGCCTTCATCGGTCGAGGCATTGTATAGGAGTTGGGACGTTATGTTACAGTTGTATAAGTCATTGGTGAGGCCGCAGTTGGAATATTGTGTACAGTTTTGGTCACCCTGTTATAGGAAATACATAGTTAAACTGGAAAGTGTGCAAAGAAGACTTACGAGAATGTGGCCAGGTCTAGTAGGACTGAGTTATAAAGAGAGAGGTTGGCCAGGATAGAACTTTATTCCTTGGAATGTTGGAGAATTGAGGTGTATAAAATCATGAGGGGCACAGATAGGATGAATGCATATAGACATGTTCACAGGGATGGGGAATTGAAAACTAGAGGGCATAGGTTTAAGGCAAGAGGGGAAAGATTTAAGAAGGACCTGAGGGGCAACTTATTCACACAGAGAGTGTTGCGTATATGAATGAGCTGCCCGAGAAAGGGGTTGAGGCAGGTGTAATAGCAACATCTAAAAAACATTAGGATCAGTACATGGATGGGAAGGCTTTAGAGGGATATAGACCAAATGGGTAATTGGAACTAGCTGAGTGAGCACCATGGTCAGCATGGACTAGTTTGGGCCAAAGGGCCTGTTTCCATACTGTATTGTGCTATGACTCTAAAAGGAAAGGTTTGATTAAGGATCGTCAGCATGGCTTTGTCAGAGGGAGGTCGTGTCTCGCAAATCTAGTAGAATGTTTCAAGGAGGTGACCATATACTTGAATGAAGGTGGAGCAGCTGATGTATCACATGGGAAACTGATAGAAGATTTCGCTGAGTCAAATTAAACTTTCAAAATTGAGATTTGTGGATTTTTATTGGTTAAAGGCAGTCAGGGATATGGAGCAAATAGAGTTTGCTTTCAAATCTCATTGAAGTGCAGAGTGGGCTTAAGGGGCCAGATGGCCTACTTCTGTTCCAAAGTTCCCATGTCCAGCAGTATAGCTTACCATAGTTTTTCTCCTCAGTATAACCTTTGGAGAGGATGTACGTGTAGACAATTTTACTACAGTTTCCAGTGCTGCTTCGATTATGTTGAACTTCGAAGTGATTGTTTTCTACATTGGGATATAAAGCATCAAGCTGGCAGACTTCCAGGAAGTGAGTGGCAAATAATGTGAATGCCTAAGTGGAAAGAAAGCAAATAACGTGTTTCAAATGAGGTGAGACATTGTGGTAATGTTACTGGAATAGTAATCCAGAAACTCAGGCTAATGCTCTGGGAATATGGGTTCAAAGTCCCCCCAGTTCCCCATCTCTTTTCTGAAATGGCCAAGGAAACAACTTGATTCAGGGCAATTACAAATAAGCAACAAATGCTGGTTATGCCGGCAATGCCCACATCCGATGATAAAAGAAAACTAAATAATGACAAACACCCAAGGAAAGCACTTCAAAAAAGCTGCCTGTTGGGGGTAAATGCATTTCCTGCTATGCAATATTGCCATGAGGCAGCCACAGCTCAGTGAGTAGAGTACTACAGCCTCTGATTCAAAACATTGTCGCAGCTTTCTGATCTGAATATATAATTTAGAGTGACATTATCGGTCCAGTGTTGAAGGAGTGCTGCACTGGCAGAGGTACAATCATTTTATATGCACAAAGTAATCTGAGGTTTCATCTGGTGTCTTCAGATGAATGTTAACAGTCCCATGACATAATTTCAAAGAACAGCAGGGGAGTTCAACCCCTGGTTGGCCTGGCTAATATTCAAGCTCAACCAAGATCAGTTAAATAGGTTATCTGGTTCATTATTATATTGCTATTTATGGGATCACTCTCTGTACAAATTGGCATTCATATTTACAATGTCTAAAGTACTATAAAAGTACTTATAAAATATAAGTACTTTATAATGTCCTTTATTACTATATCCCCTCACTGCGATTTCGGCTAATGTTGATTACACAATATTTACAGCTCAGTTACAGGTCATATGGCTGAACTAGTCCATGCAATGCTTATATTCCATATAAGCCTTATTTCACTTCAGCATACCCTTCTATTCATGTCTCCTTCAGTTGTTTACCTAGCCTCCCTTAAAGCTACCTATACTATTATGCCAACTATTCATTGAAGTATTGAGTTTTACTTCTAGCCATTCTTTGAGTATCAATGGTTTTTCCTCAATTCCCTGCTGGGTTTATTAGTGACTGTTCTGTACTTATTGGGCCTAATTCTGCACTGCCTCTCAAGTGGAAACATTTTCTGTACATCTATCCTTTGGGCAAAACTTTACATGCGATGAAAACTGAACCAGTAATGGGCCATTTGAGCCCTTCAGCTGCGACAAAAGCAGCTGGTCCACATTATTCTTCACATGCTCCACTATTCAATAAGATCACAGTTTATCTGTTATGTTTTGAATTCCACATTCCCACCTACCATCAGAAACTTTTAATTCTATTATCTAGCAAAAATCTACCTACGGCCCACTTGCCCATGATAACCAGATTTCCTAAACTGAATTAGTCACATTTGCACGCATTTGGACAAATCCCTCTCAACCCTTCCTATCCATGAACCTGTCCAAGTGTCTTTTAAATGTTGTAATTGTACACGCTTCTATCACTATGATACTACAATTGGTATAGTGGATGGTGAAAAGGGTTATCTAAGAGTACATGGTGGACATGTGGAATGTGCTGCCGGCAGTGGTTTTGGAGTCAGATACTTCAGGGACTTTTAAGCGACTCTTGGATAGGCACGTGGAGAATAGTAAAATGTATGCAGGGTTGATTGATCTTAGTAGGATAATAGGTCGGCACAACATCGTGGGCCGAAGGGCCTGTACTGTGCTGTACTGTTCTATGTTCTATCTGTAAAACTGTGGACGGGTGGGTTGTAGGAAATCAATACATGGAATTTTAGAAGACCACCCACTGGTACGGGGACCATAAAGTTCTGTCCTATGAAAACACCTTTATAATATTGGACCTCTGTCAGGCTATCCCTCAGTCTTCTTTATTATGGAGAAGAGAAGACCGTCTTCTCACTCTTTTGTAATATGTATAATGACTCAATTTTGGTTCCATTCTTATAAATCCCACTTGTTCACACCTACATGACCAAACTCTTTACCTTGAAACTGAGCAGAAATTCACAGACTGCATGACAGATCCCAATGCCTTCTTCCGTACTGGTTCCTCTACCCAATTCATCAATTATAATGAGAGATTTATCAGTGGCATTATGCATGATGTATGTTACCTGTAAGAAAAAGAAGAGATGCATACTGAATCTTATAATCATCAGCATAACCTTCAAAACCTACATATTGTATCTAACTGCACCTTAGTTTGGATCTGTTGGGAGTAGGTGAGCTGGTCCAATTTTGTATCCAATTGGCTAGCTCTCTCTGGATTCCATGTGATCTAACTTTACTAACTAGTCTGCTATGCAGAACCTTGTCAAAGGCCTTGCTAAATTCCAAGTAGATGGCATTTACAGCCCTGCCCTCATCTATCATCTTGGTCACATCCTCAAAAAACTCAAATTAAGTTTGTGAGATACAATTTCCCATGCACAAAGTCATGCTGACTATCCCTAAACATAATAATGCTGGAAATAATGAGATTACTTCAAAACTCTGGAATAGTATTGTTTTGTTGCAATAAGAAAAAAAACAAATTACATTTCTCTGGCATTATTCAGGACCTCAAAATTTCAAAACACTATTTTAGCCGGTGAAATAGTTTTGAAGTGTAGTCAATGTCTTAGGCTGCATGGTCATCAACTTGCGCCCAGCAAACTCCCTCAAGCAGCAACCTGGTAAAGACCAGATAATCTGTTTTAGTGAAGTTGGGTGAGGGATAAATATTGACCAGTACAATAGGGAGAACATATCAAAATACGATCACAGGATCTTTTATGTTGGCCGTAATGCCACTCAAGAGATTTATCAGTGAATTATGCCTGGTGGCTGTTACCTGGCTGAAAAGGAACAGATACTTATTGAATCTTCTAATCATCAGCATAGTCAGCATAACAGGTCACCCAAAGGATATCCTCTGACTGCAGCATTTTCTCAGTACTGCACTGCAATATCACTCTAGATTATGATGGAAACTAATAATACCCTACCAACATTTCTAGATGATTCTAATACTTTCTCCATTAAGCATAAATTATCATAAACATGACATATTCAAAAAGATTCAAAGGGATATTAAAAAATATATTTACACCTCTTTCATCTCCTTCATAAAGGTTGATGAGTTTGTTTCAATGTCATCATCTACACCTATCCTGGTAAAGATCTGATCAGCTATTCGAAATGAAGCATACTCAGCTGGAACAAAGGAACCTAGTGCGGGAGAAAAGAATGCTTATTTGTTACTCGTCTTCAATTTTTCCGTATTCAACAGAGCGAGAATGCATTTACATTTTTAAAAAAAAATTTCAATGTTTCTTATAATCTTCTTTCAGGTTTATGCAAATTACATAGAATTTACATCAATAACACACCAATTAACCTAGCCGGACCACGGTGGTGGTTATGTTCCTCACAAACTTTCACTCATATAAATGGCACCTAGTTTTGGCCTCTCTCACAACTGGGAATATTTTTTATGACTTGCATCATTAAACCCCATGAATTAGTATTAACATTAGCATTACTAAGATTTACTGTGTGGTCACCTGGGGACATGTGAATTGAAGGGTCACCGGACCCAAAACGTTAACTCTGATTTTTCATCACAAATGCTGCCAGACCTGCTAAGCTTTTCCAGCAACTTCTGTTCTTGTCCCTGATTTACAGCATCCGTAGTTCTTTTGGTTTTTAGATATTGAAATTTAACAGATTTAAAATATTAACTCTTAAAAAGGTGGGATTTTTAACCAGTTTTTCCTCTCCATTTTGTCTCTTCAGTATTTTAAAGACCTCTTTCAGTTCATTCCCTTAGCTTTCTCTTTGCGAATGAGTTGTTCATTTAAGTATTTGTGTGTAATTTCTTTGTTTATTTTTGGAACCTGTTGTTAATGAAAAGTCCTAATACACCCATTGCAAGGTGAGATGATTGGAGTTCAGGAGAAGTTTAACAGTGATGCTCTCTCACCCCATACTGGTTGGTATTTGGTCCCTATATGAAGAATGAATGAATTAATTAATGAATTAATACACAGGATAGTACACTGAAGAGAGGAAGTGAGGAAGAAAACTGTTTAAAAAAAAACACCCTTATTGCAGTTAAGAATTTCAATCTGTCAATCTTTCAACATCCCGTCCAAATCTGAGCGTCTGACCCTCCTTCAAATAAGTATTAACACTTTGATGTGGCAGACAATGTAAATGCAGTTAAAATAAATTACCTCGCACATTAGTAAACAAGCCCTGTTTAATACTTTTAATATACTTGATCTCTGTTATTCCAATTTACATACCATTATGACACAGGGATAGCAAGCCAGACCAAATCAGAGTTGTTAATGGTAAATTCTCAACACAGTGAAATTAAATCATTCAAAGACCCTCAAAATTGCTCATTTCTTCCTAATCAGACTCTAAGAATCACAGAAATTAGACAAGTTTATAACTTAAACAAAAATTAACAATTTATTATTAATCCTGTTAACTTTAGTAGAGCAAAGCTAAATCGAATTAATGTCTATGATTTAAATCCTATCTTCGCTGATTGTGAAGCCCACTTGCACACATAGATAGACAGACAGACGCTATTAATGGATACATTTTTTAAAAAGCGAAAAGAATTGTATCTGGCCAGTTCGATAACTGTTTCAACAATGAGTACCAGGTCTTTATGGAATTCTTCAATAATGTGTTGTATTCCAGGCACAAGGGATTGCATCTTGCTTGAATTCTGAAATTACTGGTCAATACTAACAGTCTTTAGCAGGCTCCAAGGAACGTTCATTTATTTCTTATTGTTTTGGGTCAGGGCAAACTCCTGAAAATGTTCAGAAGGTAGTCTAGACCCTAACTTTTTGTTATTTTTGAGGTAAATGTAAGGTGTTGCGTTCCAGATGAAATATGATTGGTGAAACTACCGAATTTAAAGCAAGACACACTTTTTCATCCACTAAAAGAAACAAGGAATTGGAATAACAACTCTATTGGAAAACTTAACAGAACAATGGATACAATAAGTATTATTAATTAAGTGTTCCAATATAATAACATCCTGCAAACACACTCGGCAAAAGGCAAATTCAGAAAACAGATTATCTCATGGGCAACTCCCATAGCAGACGGAGAAACCCTAGCTTTCAGCTGTAACTGAGAGAGGGAAAAAAAAAGCTTCCACTTATTCAATACCCCAACAGCAGCTGCTGAAAGCTAAAACTAAAAATCCTGTTTCTGTGGGAGCTCATTCAGGCTGTTTCTATCGTTCCAACTTAACAAAAACCAAGACAGCTAAAGCTGTTTACTCTAGTAGCTCTGGTAGACTGCTCGCTACATCTGCCTTAAAACCTGTCTTCAAAAAAGCCCAGGACGAAATACACATCTTAAGCCACAGTATCATAACACTTGAAAACTGGGATTCTTTCCCCAGAACATTCAATATTTTCTTAACTGGATATAAAATTAGAGACAGTAGAACTGAAAAAAAAAGTTTTACAGTCCGGCAGCTTCTGAGCACAATGCCCTCCACTCAAAATTTCAGTCAAAACCAATCCAATCTGTTGTTGCTCTTTCTTTTTCATCACTTTCTGTGGTTGGCTGGTCAGCACTGGCCTCCACTTGATTGACCAATGCAGTATCCAACCAGCTGCCAGTCCTTGACATAACCCATCCTAATGCTGAAATGACTGCAGTGTTCTTAGAACAATAATTAACTGTAATTATCTTTCCAGGCCAGTTCCCATTTGCAAACATAGATTGTTTGTTCTGTTTCTTTTTTAAATAAGCTGCTGTTCAAAGTTCAATTCTCAACTTTAGTTCACAGTTCCAACCAAAAATGTGAAAAATAAAGAAAAACATGACAGTTTCAACAATATCCCCTAATGACCACACATGCAGTTCTTGGCAATGTAAATAATAAGCTAATTCTTGGTCCAGCTGAAACAACTTGCATTTATAAACGGATGGTAAAAACTGCTGATGCTGGAGTCAGAGATAACACAGTGTGGAACTGGAGGAATACAGCAGGCAAGGCAGCATGAGAGGAACAGGAAAGTTGACGATTCGGGTCGGGACCCTTCTTCAGAAATGGGGGAGAGGGAAGGGAGCTCTGAAACAAATAGAGAGAAGAGGGGGTGGGGCTGGGGAAGGTAGGTGGGATGGTGATAGGTGAGTGCAGGTAGGCAATGGTGGGGATTGGTCAGTGAAGTGGGAGGAGCAGATAGGTGGGAGAGAAGACAGACAGGTTGTGTCAGGTCAAGGAGGCGGGAATGAGAGGGAGGGTTGGTCATGAGATGAGGCCAGGAGTGGGGAGATTTTGAAACTGGTAAAATCCACATTAAGACCATTGGGTCATAGGCTCCCAAGGCGGAATGTGAGGTGCTGCTCCCCCAGGTTTCCGGTGGCATTATTGTGACACTGGAGGAAGCCCAGGAAGGGCATGTCGCCCAGGGAGTGGGAGGGGGACAGTTGAAGTGGTTCGTGACTGGAAGGTGTTGTCATTTGTCGCGATTCACTTTGGAAGGAGTAACAGGAATACAGAGTACTGGGCTAATGGTAAGATTCTTGGTAGTGTGGATGAGCAGAGAGATCTCGGTGTCCATGTGCATAGATCACTGAAAGTTGCCACCCAGGTTGATAGGGTTGTTAAGAAGGCGTACGGTGTTTTAGGTTTTATAGGTAGAGAGATTGAGTTTCGGAGTCATGAGGTCATGTTGCGGCTGTACAAAACTCTGGTGCGGCGCACTTGGAGTATTGCGTACAGTTCTGGTTACTGCATTACAGGAAGGATGTGGAAGCATTGGAAAGGGTGCAGAGGATATTTACCAGGATGTTGCCTGGTATGGAGGGAAGGTCTTATGAGGAAAGGCTGAGGGACTTGAGGCTGTTTTCGTTAGAGAGAAGAAGGTTAAGAGGTGACTTGATAGAGACATACAAGATGATCAGAGGATTAGATAGGGTGGACAGTGGGAGCCTTTTTCCTCGGATGGTGATGGTTAGCACGAGGGGACATAGCTTTAAATTGAAGGGTGATAGATATAGGACAGATGTCAGAGGTAGGTTCTTTACTCAGAGAGTAGTAAGGGCGTGGAATGCCCTGCTTGCAAAAGTAGTAGACTCGCCAGCTTTAAGGGCATTTAAATGGTCATTGGATAAACATATGCATGATAATGGAATAGTGTAGGTTAGATAGGCTTCAGATTGGTTTCACAGGTCGGCGCAACATCGAGGGGCGAAGGGCCTGTACTGCGCTGTAATGTTCTATGTTCTATGAACAGAGCGCAGGTGCTCTACAAAGCGGTCTCCGATGCTCCGCTTGGTCTCACCAATGTACAAGAGGCCACATTGGGAGCAGCAGATGTAGTAGACCACATTAGCGGATGTGGAAAGTTTTTTTGGTTCCTTGGATGGAGGTGAGGGGGGAGGTGTAGGGGCAGGTGTAGCACTTCCTGCGGTTGCAGGGAAAGGTGCCAGGGAGTGTAGAACAGAGGGAGTCATGGAGAGAGCGGTCACTACGGAAGGCAGATAGGGATGGGGAGGGAAATATATCCTTGGTTGTGGGGTCAGATTGCAGGTGGCAGACGTGGCGGAGAATGATGCGTTGAATCTGGAGGTTAGTGGGGTGATATGTGAGGACAAGGGGGAATTCTGTCTTGGTTTTTCTTGCGGGGAGAGGATGTGAGGGCAGAGGTGCGGGAAACGCAAGAGATGCAGTCAAGAGCATTTTCAACCACTGAAGGGGTGACGTTGCAGTCCTTGAAATAAGAGGACATCTGGAATGTTCGGGCGTGGAAAGCCCCATCTTGGGAGCAGATGCTGCGGAGGCAGAGGAATTTGGAGTAAGGGAGCACATTCTTGCAGGATGGTGGGTGAGAGGAGGTGTAGTCTAGGTAGGACCTTTCATGAAGCAAACCATCCTTGAGTGCTTATAGAGATTATCATTGAGGTCTACAGGACAGAAAAAGTCCCTTCATTCAATTAAGTCTACACCAGACAAAAACAATGACCTAAATGTTCTAATTCCATTTGCCAGCAACTGACCTATAGGCGTGTATGCCTTGACATCGCAACAGCACATCTAAATACTTCTTCAATGTTATGAGGGTTTCTACCTCCACTGCTTACAAGCAGTGAGTTCCAGATTCCCATCATTCCCTGGGGGGAAAAGGTTTTCTCACACCTCTTCTAAACCTCCTTCCCTTACCTTAAATCCATGCTCCTGATCACTGATCTCTCCATCAAGGGGAAAAGTTTCTTTGTCTCAACGCCATCTATGCCCCTCATCGTTTCATACATTTTAGTTATGTTCCCTCTCAGTTTCCTCTGCTACAAAGAAAACAACCTCAATCGATCCAATCTCTCTTCATAACCAAAACTCTCTAGCCAAGGCAACATCCTGGTAAATTTCCTCTGCACTTTCACCAGGGCAATCACATCCCTCCTATAATGTGGATTCCAGAACTGCACACAGTATATTTGCTGTGACCTAACCAATGTTTAATAGAATTTCAGCATGACTTCTCTGCTCTTAAACATTATGCCTCAGCTAATAAAGGCAAATACCCCATATGCCTTCTTAAACATTTGATCTACTTGTCCTGCTACCTTAAGATATCAGTGGACATGCACACCAAGGCCCCTCTAATCCTCGGTGCTTCTTAGGGTCCAACTGTCCATCGTGTATTCCCTTGCCTTGTTTCTCATGCCCAAGTGCATCATTTCACACTTAGCCAGATTGAATTTCAATTGCCACTGATCAGCCCATCTGTATCCACCTGTCATCTAAGGCTATCCTCCTCACTATTTACCATCTTAACAATTTTCATTTCATCTGTAAACTTACTGATCAACCCTATTACATTTAAGTCTAAATCAATTAATTCAAGTCTAAAGTTATGAATACAAAAATAAACAGCAAGGGCCCCAACACTGATCCCAGCTGAAACCCACTAGAAACAAGCTTCCAGTCATAAAGTACCCTGTGACCGTCACCCTTTGCGTCCTGCCATTCAGCCAATTTGGATCCAATTAGCTAAATATTTTTGGATCCCATGGGCTCTTACCATCACCATCAGTCTCCCAGGCAGGGCCTTATCCAAAGCTTTATGAAGTCCAAGTGGAACAAGTCAAATGCATTGCCTCATCCACACACCTAGTTACCTCTTCGAAAAAATTCAATCAAGTGGTCAGACATGACCTCCCCATACTGACGGTTCTTTATTAATCTCTGCTCACCATGTGAAGATTAATTCTGTTGCTCAGAATAGCTTCCAACAGTTTCCCCACCACTAAGGTTAAACTGAATGGTCTGTAGTTTCCTGGTTTATCCATTTTTCCTTTCTCAAATAATGGTAATACACTGGTTGTCCTACAATCCTCTGGCACATTAGTGGCTAAACAGGAACTGAAAATTATCACAAGCACCCCTGCTATTTTCTCTCTTGCCTCACTCAACAGCCTGGGATAGACTTCCAGGACTGGAAGAAATGTATCTACTTTTAAGTCTGGCAGTCCACTCAGAACCTCCTCTTTGTCCGTGCTAATTTCTTTAAGTAAATCACAGTCCTCCTCCCTGATTTCTATAACCTCTTGCTAGTGAACACCAACGAAAAGTATTCATTTAGAATCCTACCAACATCCTCTGGCTCCACACAAATGCCCACTATGGTCCTTAATTGGGCCTACTCTTTCCCTGGTTATTCTCTTATCCTTAATGCACGTGTAAAATAACTGATGGTTTTCCTTTATTTTACCTGTCATTATTCTTTTGTACCTGCTTTTGTGCTCCTAATTTCCTCTTAAAGTTTGCCCTTGCACATTCTGCAATCCTCCAGGGCTTCTGTGACTTTGAGCCCTCGGTATCTGCCATAAGCCTCCCTTTCATGTGTAATCCGTTTGCCTTGTACAGGTCCTACTGCCCCAAAAATCATTCCAATGTCCCAGAAATCTAAAACCTTCCCTTCAGCGCCATCTGTTCAGCCTCACATTTATCTGGACTAACCTCGTATTTCTGTGTACACTAGCATATGGAACCAGACGTAATCCAGAGATTACTACTTTTTGGGTCCTGTTCTTTCATCTACGTCCTAGTTTGCAGGACCTCATCCTTTTTCTACATATGTCATCAGTACCAATATGTACCACAGTCTCTACACGTTTGTCCTCCCCATTTCAGAATGCCCTGCACCTGGTCGGTGACATCCTTACTGTGGCACCAGGGAGGCAACATGCCATTATGGAGTCTCTTTTGCAGCCACAGACATGTCTGTATATTCCCCTTACATTGAATTCCTTACCACTATAGCCCTGCTATTGTTCTTCCTCCCTTCGTGTGCAGCAGACCCACCATGGTGCCATGTAGTTGGTTCCCACTGCTTTCCCCTGCATAGTCATCTTCCCCAACAATATCTAAAACAAGAACAAAAACAAAGTTGCTGGAAAAGCCCAGCAGGTCTGGCAGCATCTGTGAAGGGAAAAAACAGAGTTAATGTTTTGGGGTCTGAGGAAGGGTCACCGGACCCAAAACGTTAACCCTGTTTTTATGCTGCCAGACCTGCTGGGCTTTTCCAGCAACTTTGTTTTTGTTCCTGATTTACAACATCTGCAGTTCTTTCGGTTTTTATTTAGTATCTAAAACAATATATCTATTGAAAGGAGATGGCCACAGGGGGCACCTGCCTTCTTCTACTCTGCCTGACGGTCACCCATGCCCTTTCTGCCTGCTCAGTCTTCACTTGCAGTGTGACCACTTCACTGCACATGCCCACCAAGACCTGTTCAGCATCATGAATGCTTCACAGTAAACTCACCTGCAACTCCAGTTCCAAAATGCTGTTAACTAGTAGCTGCAGCTGGACACCTCTTGCACATGCAGCCACCAGGGATAACTGAAGTTTCCATTATTTGCCACATGGCATAGCCGGAGCATATCACGGGTGTAAGCTCTGCTGCTATGACTTTCTTTAAGACCCTTAGTCACTCTTTTCTTTAAAAATAAATAATTATGCTTCTGTAGGAATATTCTTAACTTACTTCCCTATGTTAACTTACCCTACTTTGCTTACTTGTGTAACTTTATTATATTGACCATGACTTCCACTTATTTTTGTTTTTATTCTCAGTTAATCCCTTCTTTCAAAAAAATACACTTATTAAAATCCTGAACCAATCAACACACCAATTTCCTGTGGTGTCATTGTCTGATTTGCTTTCTCTATCAGCAGACACCTGAAGCTGCAGCTGTTAAACTAGGACTCTCCTCTTAATATAACCCCTTGCTATCTCCCGTCTTGCTGCTGTCCATCCAATCCTGGGGCTCAGTTTATCCTGTTGCTGATTTCCTTTCCTCTGCCCAGTTAAAGGTGAAGTACTGGATCTCCGATCCTGTGCCTCAGTTTGTCCTGTGCTGACTTCCTCTTCCTGCTCAGTTAAAGCTGAACAATGTAGCCTTACAAACTATGAACCAAAAAGAAAGCAAAAAGCACCTCTTGCACCCTGCACTGAGGGAAAGAGGTGAAATAAAATTTGACACCAAGTCACTGAGAGCACTATTAACAGTGGTTTTGAGGTTTAAAAATAAATAAACTGACGGTGAATGAACATTGAGATATGAGGTCATGTGAAAATGCTCTTATAAACTAAATTTAACTTGATACATAGATATACCCAGGATCGTGAATGTTCAAATGTAAGTCTTTAGAAAATAATGTTTATTATTATTTGTTTTTGCAATGTAACTAATACTCATTTCCTAACAGCCCTGAGAAGCTCTTGCTGAAAAACTGCAATCCTTAAAGTGAGGGGGCTCCCACAGTGTTTCAACTAGAAATTAACAAGGATACTAATGATGAAGCAGTAACAGATCAGATCAGTGCTTATAACAGACAATACCACATGGATAATCAGTTTATCCTTTCTGTCACTCTACATTCACTGCCTCATCACTCCAAAGTTCCCACCCACAGTTCTACGCTGTCTGACCACTGCCGCAACTGAAGTTCTATTTTGCACCTTCTGGTCAAATCTAATTTCCCTCTACTGTGCTCCTACTCACCAATCTGTGCTATAATTTGACACAGAGCAATCTGTTTAAGATAGGTTGACTTTCCGCTCATGTTAGGCCCAGTTACAATGATGAAGTTGTTCCCATCGGAGATGTAGGTATTATTAGCAACAGGTTTCTCCATCGATATCTTTTCAAGAATAGGATGTCGTCCCTGCTTAATGGCCAAGGTATCAGTGAACTCTGGACGGACTAGAGCAAAATGAAGAACAATCAATCATGAAAACCTGGTTGGATTTTGATGTTAACTGCCTGAATTTCCTCAGTGGTTCAGTATAATATTGAGTCAAAACCCTGGATAAACACATGGATTTCTGTCCATTCTCCACTGGCCAATCAGAAGAACCCATGAGCTTTTTACTGGTGCATGTTGCAAGCAAACAGCAACAATACTTCTGTACCTTCACAACTGCTAATCGCTGAAAGTTGCAAAGTTCGGATTAGGGATTCAAATGTATATCAAATCATTAGTTATTATAGACTCAAAGGCTCATTATGCCTGTGTCAGTTCTTTGAAAGAACGTCATAATCAGTCACTTCTCCTGCACTTTCTGCAAAGCCCTGCAATTGTTTCTGTTTTAAGTATTTATCCAATTCCCTTTTGAAAGTTATCACTGAATCAGTTTCCTCCACCCTTTCAGGAGTGCAAAAATCCATGCAGATCAGGTAACACTACTTGACAGGAGGTAGCTGATTTCAGTCAGACTGGATCTTTCAAAAACAATTTGAATTTATATTGCACATTTCACATAACAAAACATTCCAAGATGTTACACATGAGCACAACCTCACCGAATGTAGCACTGAGCCACACAATGGGTTATTAAAATAGCGACCAAAAGTTGGTTAAAGAAGTAGTTTTTAGAAATATCTTAAAGTAGAGTAGACAAGCAGGCATTCTGTCGTGAGCTGCTTCTATACTGGAACAGTTTGGCTAGAGATTGACTAGCCAAAATCTACAGCATTCCATCTAAGACACTGTTGGTGTTCGAAGCCCTTGCTGTAATGAGTGTACTTATGCACTTCTTTATGTCTTGAAGTGAACTGAAGCAGCTAAAGACTTGTATCTTTGTTGGTGCAGATCAGAGCACCTCCAAAATGAATTATTTGCTCAATTATCAAGGAATAGAAGTTCAAGGCAGGTGAATGGGGCTTAGTAACAGATCACCACAATCTACTTGAACGGTGAAAGCCTAAATGTAAACTCCTCCTCCTACATTTTCAGGCCAAATGTTGGAGTCCTATAATTGGTCTCATCAGGGCTACAGCAATAGATAATCATTTTTCACTCCTGATTATGTATCCAGCCCTGTGGAAACATTATTATTGGGGATGCAAAGGCCTAGTGGTATTATTGCTGGACTGTTAATCCAAAGACCCAGATAATGTTCTGGGGGCCCAGGTTCAAATCCCTCCACGGCAGATGGTGGAACCTGAATTCAATAAATATCTCGAATTAAGAATCTAATGATGACCTTGAATCCACTGTCAATTGTTAGAAAAAATATCTGATTAACTAACATCCTTTAGCGAAGGAAACAGCCATCCTTACTTGGTGTGGTCTATGTGACTGCAGACCCAGAGCAATGTGGTTGGCTCTTAACTGCCCTCTGGGCAATTAGAGATGGACAATAAATTCTACCAAGCTAGCGACACCCTCATTCCATGAATGAATAAAGGAATACACGGGTGAATGTCAAAGATACAAGTTAAGACTCTACTGTGTTGGCCAACTGCAGCTTAATAGCTTGTTCAGCTCATAATATGGGCTTATACATGAAAAATGGCAATTAGGACCAGGTGCCAAAGGGTTCCTGAAATGCATGAGCCAATATGTTCAGGAGGCAGGACAGCAAACTACACAGAATGTAGACCTATGCATTTCAATCAAATCAGCAAAGTGACCTCAGCATCCTGACCTTCCCAATTTTCCTTGCCTTCCTTGATTTTCTCAAACCTCCTCACTACTTCTCCTAACTTTCAACTATTTGTTGCGCTGCACTGAAGAAATATTATCCATGTCTCATCCTTCTTCTCTTCACTCTATCACTGTAATTCATATTTCTTTCTCTCTCATTTGTTTATTAGCATCCCCAAAAGTGCATCTATGCCGTCCACTACAACCATTCCATCAAGAGAGTTCCACATTTTCCCCACTCCGAGAAGCGATGTCTCCTGAATTTCTTATTGGATTTATTAGTGACTATCATATACGTATGGCCCCTAGTTTTAATTACCCATGAATATGAATACTCGTTCTCTGCATCTATCTTATCCAACCACTTTATAATTTTTACTATTAGACCCTATTAGGTCACTCTTCAACCTTGTCTTTACTGAGAAAGACTGTTCAGTTTCAAGGTTCTTGAGTAGATTTGTAGCTCGGGTTGTGGATTCTGTGGTTGGTTTGCTCGCTGAGCTGGTTTGTTAATTCGCAGACGTTTCATTACCCTGAGGGCCCCAGAGTTTAAATAACAGGCGGGAAAACACAACAGCACTTCATCAGAGGCTGCACTTATTATGCTACCCTGCAGGGTACTGAAATGTCTGCGAATTAACGAACCAACCACAGCACTGTACAGTTTTACGGAATCATAACTTTTTAAAAATGTAACTGAAAATCTTACAATGTAGTTAATTGCTAGATTATGATTTACAATTAGATTTGTGTAAAACTTCTCATCTGTGCAATGATTAATTACATTTAGTTTCTTTCTCAGACACTTATTTTAAACACCACTACTTGTAACACAAAGATTGACAGGAAGAAAAAACCCTTGCCATAGTCTGAAAGAGTGCAGGTGTGCGCGAAGGACAGCAACATGTCCAACATGGAGACTGCATCTGACAGCTTGTACAAACAATGGATATGTCTGTAGATCTCACTCAGGAGTTTGCAAACTACCCTGGAGAAAGGGAAAAAAATTGCATTTCAAGTCATTAGCAAAACAAAATATTCCTAATTAGTGCATCATGACAAATGAGCAACAGAAACCACCCTATTAAGTGTTATACTGACACTAACTTAAGTCAACTAGGTTAATTTAAATTGTATACAAGTACCAGACGAGCAACTCAAATAAGAATAATGCATATGAGTCTGACATTATGAAATGCATTAAAAGAAAGGCTTGCACTTAATGTCTTAGTAAGTGTCAAAGGACTTTACAGCTGGTGAATTAGTTTAGAGTAGCAGAGGAAACATGGCAGCCAATTTACACACAGCAAGGTTCAACCATTAGAAATGCAATTAAGATTAAGCAATATATTTTAGCGGAAGGATAAATATTGACCAGGTCACCAGAGAGAATTCCCACACTCTTCTTTGAAAGAGTGATGCGGGATCCTTTACACCCAAATGCGAGGCAGGCGAGGGTTTAGTTTAGCATCTCATCTGAAAGAAATAAGTGCTACAATTTCAGCATGGATTTTCCACTCAAACCAATAGAGCAAGACTTACTTCATTCTGATATAGTGGCAAGAGCACTACCCACTGAGCTACAACAGACTTCCATTCACTGCATTTCATTTTCAGCTTCATTTCATTTTGGCTTAATGACACCTGTTATGAGAACATTCCAGCTTTCTTGAAAGAACAAAAGTTGCATTATGAATATTGTTAATCTCCTTACAGATAGGTCATATGGTAAATCTCCCGCAAAGACTCTTGGCACCGCTCATTCATTTTAATTAAGTCAGCTGTAGTGAAGTTGTAAGTGTTCTTCGTTACGGTGACCTAGAAAGGAATTCATAACTTATAATAGAAGCTTTCTGCAGGACTCTGAACATGTCAAGCCAGGACGCCCATTTTGCAATCTATACAGGATGCAAACAAACTGCTAAACGCTCTTGGCAGTGTCAAGTATCTAAACTCTACCTGCTCAATATACATGATGTGTAGCTATACAAGTTGAAAGTGCATCATTGTGATCATGTTTTCGTTTAACTTTATCTACTAAGTTCACGTGGCTTAGTACAAAACTACTAATATATTGGGGATGCATTCTAACAGGGAGAAAAGACAGTAGATAAAAGGAAGAAGTATAGAGCATATATCACATCCATCCTAAACCACTCACTATCAAAAAAAAAATTTGTAAACAGCAGTCTGTAACCTCATGGCCAGAATATCAACCTTGGTTCAATGAAGAATGCAGGAAAGCACGCTAGAAATAAAACCTGACATACCTAAAAATGAAGTACCAACGTGTTGAAGCGACAAGCAACAGAAACACCATTCAATTGTCAATAGAAGCAGTCCTACAACAAAGGGATCAGGTCTAAGCTCAGCAATCCTGCCACATCCAGATATGAATGATATGAATGGTGTTGGACAATTAAACAATATCCTCAATGATGGGCGAGCCCAGCATATCCATGCAAAAAGACAAGGCTGAAACATTTGCAAGCAACTTCAGCCAGAAGTGCCAAATGGATGTGCCATCACAGTCTCCTCCTGAGGTCCCCCACATCTCGTCAAAAAGCCAGCAGTTCTCCCTCACACTGCTCATCTGACAGCGAAGCACTCCCTCAGTATTACACCTTTGTACTGCAGCTTTCTCTCAATGCTGGACTTGGAATATTAGGCCATACTTTGGCTGAAATCTCCAGATTTGAGTTTAAACCCACAATCATCTGACTCAAAATGAGAGTGCTATCACTTTTTTAAGGAGTTCCTTGTAACCTATTTCTTTGACCAAGTTTTTGGTCGTATCTCTTAACACCTTAGGTGGCCTTATGTCAAATGTTGTTTGATATCACACTGCGATGCACTTCAGGAAGTCTTACTAAGTGAAAGGCACCATAGAAATGCAGGTTATTCTTGGTGAAAACAGGAAATACAGCCACATTTTTCAACTATAAAGATTGCCATCCCCAAAATGTTCATCATCAGAAAGATATTCATCATCATAGTTAGGACGTTTTGGAATTTAATGATGTGTTACAAAACAGTGTCATATATAACAGAAGTTGAATTGATTAACGCACCTTCATAAACTCTGATGGCAACTGCCCATTAGAGAATGAAGCTCCCTCACAATTCAGCTGAATGAAGAATCCTCGGGCAGTACTGAAGCTGGTTTTCAGAGGCAGGTTATATTTTTCTCCCAGCTGTGATATCATTCCTACTCAGTTCAAAATGAAAAAGTGACAAAAAGGATGCCTTCAGCTTAACATAAAATTGATTATAGAAGCATCTCTTGTCTAAAGAAGATGGTGAAATGTTCAGAGATGTCAATTACGATTTGATCTGCGATGTTTTAATCCAGTGGAGTGAATATACTGAATGGACTAGCAGACAGAAAGAAAGCACCAAAGGAAGAATCCTTTTAAAAGTCACGCCTCAAGGTGTTCCAAAGTTCTATGGCCAATGAAGTGCTTTTAAGCAGTAGTGGGATATAACGTAGAAAACATGGTGACCAATATTTGGACAGCAAATCCCAATACATGTAGCAATGTCCCACATGCAGCAATCTTTTCCTTTAAGTGACGGGAGCGAGTAGCAAAGACATACTTAAAGGAAAGTTAGATAAGCATATGAGGGAGAAAGAAACAGGATATGCTGATGGGTCTGGATGTAATGCAACGGTGCTGAGGAGGTAGTTCATGTGGAGCTTAAACACAAGCATAAACCTGTGGGGCAAAATGAGAACTGCAGATGCTGGAGTCACAGTAAATACACTGTGGAGGTGGAGGAACACAGCAGGTCAGGTAGCAACAGAGGAACAGGAAAGGCGATGTTTCAGGTCTGGCTTGTTTCTATGCTGCAATTTCAGTGTTATTTTACACAATTTATTTCAACCTCATCTGATTTAACACAGAACACAGGAATTTTGTAAGACAAGCATAGACATTTTGAAATCTCTGGTATTTAACTAAGCAATAATGATTACCTTAGAGAGATCATGCGTAGACTGGGAGACCGTTTCGTCGAGCATCATGACAAATGACAACATCTTCTGGTCGCCAAGCATTTTAACTCCACCTCCCACTCCCTGGGTGACATATCCATCCTGGGCCTCCTCCAGTGTTGGCCTCTTCCAGTGTCACAATGACACCACCCGCAAACTGGAGGAGCAACACCTCATATTCCGCCTTGGGAGCCCACCACCTGATGGCCTAAACATGGAATTCACCAGTTTTAAAATCTCCCCACCCCGGCCTCATCCCATGAGAATCTAGAATATGCTGTCTCTCACTCAACACTACACTAGAGGTTGCAATGTTGAAGTCCTCTTAGAGCGTAATCCCTAAGCAATCACTGAACTGATGAAACCTCCACTTTATGCTATTAGATTGCTGTAAAAATTCGTCAAAAGGTTACATCTGGTTGACTGAAGTCTAAATGTGCACTAATAACCATTAAACACATCACTGATCTTGAAAGTTGATTTCAAATTTCTCCAACATGATTAAAAGATACATAAAATGTTGAATTATAAATTAATTTTGATGAAGTTTATTTACAACTTTTTAGCTTCTATCATGATATAATCAAAATCACTGTGAAGATACAGATTAAAAATTAAGTGAAGAGTGATAGATTCAGTCTTTTGAAAGTCCTTGTTTGCTGTGTGTGAGTCCTTCAATGTTACTGAATGCTGAGCTTGATGATATCACTACTCCCTGACTCCTGGAGATCATTCTGGCTTTACTCCAGACTTAAACTGTCGTTGGTAAAAGGGAAATACATGCCACAGACTTTAGATGTTTGTGAGTTGCCTTTGTTCGCCACTGACCACAAAATTAACTACATCAGTTTACCACTCCTACATACCATATGTCCTCATGGTAAAAGTCGAGTTTCTGAGACTAACGTTCTAGCCAACAAGTAAGGGCTGTCTTTTACTCAAGTACCATTTTCAGAAAGTTGAACCCACCCTTTCTAATCATCTTGCTTTAGTATTGATGCCAGATTGGAGACTGATCTTGCCAATACCACCCCTAAAAGGTAATCAAGAAGCACGTTTACAATTCTCCCAACATGAAGAATTGAACAACCACTTATGAATGAATATGTAGGTTTTGTACCTGTGTAAGCCCTTCCCAACAACGCAAATACAAAATACAAAAAAACATCAGGACATGTTTGACTTTAGCAGCGAGCAGATGGTAAATAGAAAGATTTTAGATTTTTTTGGCCAAAGGTCTGGGATTGACTTTTACATGAGATCAATGATTACTTGTGTATATAAGGTACTTCTAATGGAAGAATGAAGAAATATGGTATTACTTTGCCCTATTGCAGCATCTGCTTCATGGAAAATGTACTGTTTGTAATTATGCAAATACAATTAGCAGAAATGTATTTGCCTGAATTTATAGCAGTACAATTTTAACGTGCAAATCCTACCCAGTTTAAAAATTTAAATTTGTTTATGAACAGTTTCACCTTCACTTGTCAGGCACAGCATTATCAAAATATGGAAACAATACCTGCTACATCATCAACAATCTCTGTGTACGTTCGCCGAGCAATATCAAGGAACTCGTTAATATTTGGTCTGACAGCATAGCATTTCTGTGTCCTCATGTTCAAACAGCCTTTAATGTACCTGGTATCATCATTAATGACAGTTTTGATTTGGTCCAGAATAAGGTTAAATCTGTAATTTTCAATGTAAAAACAAATGCAAATCATTATTCAAAATATATATTTAAAAATTAATCTTTAATCAAAGAAAGCTTAAAACAATACTCCGCCCTCAATGAACTTTCTGAACTTGGAACCAAATATAAAAAGCATAAAAGTTACGTTACATCTACACAAATCACTGGTCAGAAATCACCTGAAGTAATGCGCTCAGTTCTGGGCACACTCAAGTTGTCAAGGCTTCAGAGAGATTGGAGAATTTATACAGAGGTGGTTATGGATTAAATTAAGAAATGAGAACCACCATCAAAACTGTCTCTCATTCAGCAAGTTCTAGTTCAGACTGAGATAAACTGCAGATAACTAAAGGCCAGTTGCAGGATTACAAGTAAAATAACTTGGGAGGATGCATGGTGCCATTTCAGCTCATGTTTTATTTTGAAAATCTGTAAATTGGGATTCTCGGGGTGCCAGAAATGCTACGTATTAGAGGAGGTGAGAAAAGCTGGATCCGTGAGGTAACTGCCTTTAGTGCAATGCATTAGCAAGAGAAGGAAGAGTATCCACCAGCCTGACCTGGCCAAAAAAAAATAATATTGATTGGCTGACACCCTTGCCCTTCACCCACCACTACCACCACCACTGCCACCACACTCCCTCCCACCCACTGCAATTCCCCCTTCAGTGCCTTTAAGTCAGTCAGGAAACATGTTTAACTGCTCCTGTCATTTAAAACTGAATCTGTGGATAATGCAGTTCAGTTTCGTCACCTGCATGTCCTTCCGCAAACAAACTCTCTTCCCAGTTCAGTTATTATCAGTTTGATGCTTATAAATCTGGTTAAGTCATTGACCTAATTAAATCTAATTCGATCACGCAGTTTTTAATGAAATAACTACTACACAAAGCCCTTCATTTACTCTTGGCTTACCTGCTATCTTCCAATGAACTGCAATAAGCCTTTAGTAATGGTGTCTTGCAGGTTTTCAGAGTTCCCTGTAGAACACAAGCAATGATTGTGAATACATTAAAAAACTTTAGTAAAATCATTCTTCCCTATTTCTAAGAAACAGCTGATTTTAATGAAGAGAAAAATTTACACATCAAATTTGCTTCTTGCCTCATTCACAATATCTATCACGTCCCTATGATAAGATTGCTTAATTTTCTGAAGAAGGGTCCTTACCTGAAACATCAGCTTTCCCGGTCCTCTGATGCTGCCTGACCTGCTGTGTTTCTCCAGCTCCATACTGTGTTGTCTCTGAATCCAGCATCTGCACTTTGCTACCTCTTAATTCAAAAACCAATGCTTCTCTATCTTGGTATTTCTCTTTGATCTCGAAAGGAAACATGTATTTACTCCTCTAATCACCATCTCTCCCCATTTAAATGAGTGAAGGGATTCAACACAGTAGAAATAGAAAAAAAACTTACTTATGTGGGAGACTCAAAAACAAGGGGGATGCAATGTTAGAAAAAAGGAAGAGGGAAGTCAGTAGAGGGCAAACACCCACTACACTATTAATTCATTATTAAAATTACATAGCTCTTCTTTGAGGTTTTTCTCTGCTTTGATACCCTATATCTAAAAATCTGAAAATTAAATCTTTTTATCAACAGCTTCCATCTCTGAGGTGGTTTCTGGGCAATTCACATCCAACAATCTGCTCTGAAAACTCTACTCACATTTTGACAGCTGTAACAGATTCCACCACAGTAAAAGAGACAATCCACATTATTTAAAAACAATCAGCAACATTCTAACTAGAACAATGTTGCTTTTTAGAAAGTCAACACACCTTATCTCCCAAAGTTAATCCATCCTCTAAAAAGTTTCAGAAAGCTGATCTTTGTCAACACTAACCAATTCGTCGTTGGGTTATACCATAACTCTCTAATAGGTTTTATTGAAATTACCTTTCACTACCTTTTTAGATATTTGTTTACAATCTGTTAAAAAGAAACTTCCTTTTTAATGAGTAGAGACCAAGGACTACAATTCTTGGCATAATCTGACTTTTGGCCCATGCACAACATAGGGTAGGTTAGGCACACTCAGCTCAATTTTCCCAATTCTTGGCAACTTCAGAGATTGAATAATGCTCAGCCAGCCCGAGTGGTGCACCTATATGGTGGTGTTGGAAGAAAAGCCTGACCACGAGACACAGGATGGTCATAAAAGGAAAATTTTGTGACTGATTAGTGAGTCAGATGGACAAGAGGAGAAAAATAGGCTTCATGCAGAAAAAGTGCTCCAGTTAGCTATGCTGATGAGAAAGTAGCTGAACACTTCTGAACCTGTACATCCAGGACACAAGACGACCCAGGAACCAGTTGATAGGGCTCCTTGCGGTTAAGACACAGGCAACGTCCTGGTCCTGGGGAACATACACATGAACAGACAAAATGGTGGGCATGTGGAATGCGCTGCCGGCAGTGGTAGTGGAGTCAGATACTTTAGAGGCTTTTAAGCGACTCTTGGATAGGCACATGGAGGATAGTAAAATGCAGGGTATGCAGGGTAGTTTGATCTTAGTAGGATAATCGGTCGGCACAACATCGTCGGCCGAAAGGCCTGTACTGTGCTGTATGTTCTATGTAGAATAGGAGCATAAGACCACTTGGCCCCTAAACTCTGCCCAGCCATTCAATCAGATTATGATTGATCTACTTTTGTTTTTAATTCCACATTCCATCTACCCCAAAATCTCTGATTCCCTTGCCTAACAACAATCTATTTACACTCTGCCTGCCCGAGCCATCCTAACATTGAACAACTTTTCCTTTAACTCATTTCACCTTCTTCAGATCAAAAGTGTAGCCATGGGTACCTGTACAGGCCCCAATTATGCCTGTCTCTTTGTAGGGTGCATGGAACATTCCTTGTTCAAATCCTATTTGAGACCCACCCCAAAACTCTTTCTTCTGTACATTGAAGACATCATCGATTCTGCTGCCATCTCTTGTTTGGAATTGGAAAAATGTATCAACTTTGCTTCCAATTTCCACCCTGCTCTGCACCCGGTCCATCTCTGACTCCTCCATTCCCTTCCTCTACATCTGTTTCTCTGGTGGGGCCAGGCTGGCCACCAATATCCATTACAAACCCACTATACTGTTCTGAGATGTCACCTTCTGCAGAGGGGCTGCAAAAATGTTTACTTATCTCCTCAACCGAAAATTCCCTGCTACTGCGATTGGCAGGATACTTAGCCATGTGCAACTCATTTCCAACACTTCAGCCTTCACCTGTTCTGTTTCCTCGCATGATAGGGTCCTCCTGGTCCCCATTTTCCACACCTTCCAAAAATTCAAAAGCCACCATTTTCTCCAGCAACATGCTACCAGCAGACACATTCTTCTCCTCCCCCTTGTCAGCATTCTGCAGGGACTGTTCCCTCTGGGACACCCTGGTGTATTCTTCCTCCACTCCCAACTCCTCTCAAAACCCCACGAAACCTTCCCATGCTTGTTTACCTCTTCCCTCCTCCCTATCCAAGGTCCCAGACACATCTTCCAGATGAAGCAGCAGTTTAGATAGGTGGTGAGGAGACGGACAGGTCAAGGAGGCAGGGATGGAGCCAGTAAAGGTGAGTGTAGGTGGGGAATTAGGATGGAGGTTGGTCAGTCAAAGGAAGACGGGGGTCAAAGGAGGCAGGGATGAGGCTGGTAGGTAGGAGGTGGAGGTGGGGGTTGGTCAGTGAGGTGGGTCTCCTCTCCACCTATCTGCTCCTTTATCCACCTTCCATCCGCCTCCCCCCCATCTCTATTTATTTCAGAGTCCCCTTCCTCTCCCCCATTTCTGAAGAAGAGTCCAGACCCAAAACGTCAGCTTTCCTGCTCCTCTGATGCTGTCTGGCCTGCTGTGTTCATCCAGCTCTACACCTTGTTATCCCTGTCATGACATGGTTTGCTTTCAGCACCGGTAACTCATTTGCATCCACTCATTCTCAGTCTCATTATCACCTACCCAGCTTTTCCTCCTCCTTGATTTGCTATCAAACAACTTTCTCTCTGGGCTCCACAGCCACCTAGCAGCTCATTGCCACACCACCCCCTTATCAGTTCTGAAGAAGGGGCACTGGACTTGTCACGCTAACTCTGTTTCCCTCTCCACTGACACTGCCAAACCTGCTGGGTTTTTCCAGCAATTTCTGCTTTTTCTCCCCCAGACTTTCAGCATCCACAATTCTTTGATTTATTATATAAGAATCCATCTACCTCTACATTAAAAAGACTTAATTATTCCACCACCCACCACCTTCTGAGGCAGTGAGTTCCCTGTTATAGGAAAGATATTGTTAAACTTGAAAGGGTTCAGAAAAGATTTACAAGGATTTCGCTGGGATTGGAGGGATTGAGCAATAGGGAGAGGCTGAATAGGCTGGGGTTTCTCTCTCTGGAGCGTTGGAGACTAACGGGTGACCTTACAGAGATTTATAAAATCATGAGGGGCATTGATAGGGTGAATAGCCCAAGGTCTTTTTCCAAGGATCGGGGAGTCTAAAGCTAGAGGGCATAGGTTTAAGGTGAGAGGGGAAGGATTTAAAAGGGACCTTAGAAGCAACTTTTTATGTAGAGGGTGGTGCGTGTATGGAATGAGCTGCCAGAGGAGGTGGTGGAGGCAGGTACAATTACAACATTTAAAAGGCATCGGAAAGGGTACATGAATAGGAAAGGGTTAGAGGATATCTGGTAAGCATTAGGTCAAGCTGGACTGAAGGGTCTGTTTCTGTGCTGTATAACTCTATGACTTATGAGCTCAGAGAAAAAAAAGTCTCATTTCTCATTTAAAATGGTGACACCTAATTTTAATACAATGCCCACTAGCTCTTGATGCAACCACAACAGAAAACAATCTTTCCGTGTCTGTCTTATCAAGATCATTCAGAGTCTTATAGGCTTCAAACGAGTCATACTCACTCCTTTAAATTCTAATGGAAATAAGCCCAGCCAGTCCAACCAATGTAAATAAGACAATCCACTCATTCCAGGGATCAATCTAGTAAACCTCCTCTGAACCACCTCCAATGCATCTACATGCTTCAATAATGAGAGCAAAAGTGAACATGGTATTTGCGAGACAACAAGGTGCAGAGCTGGATGAACACAGCAGGCCAAGGGGGATTTTAATCTACATGTCAATTGGTCAAACCAGGTCGGTCAAGGCAGCCTTGAGGAGGAGTTCATTGATTGTATCTGCGATAGGTTTCTTGAACAATATATAAAGGAACCAACAAGGTTGGAAGCTATCCTAAATCTGGTCCTGTGTAATGAGATAGGGGTAATTAATGATCTCATAGTTAGAGATCTTCTTGGAAGGAGCAATCACAGTATAGTTGAATTTAGAATACAGATGGAAAGTGAGAAGATAAAATCCAATACCAGGGTCCTATGCTTAAACAAAGGAGACTTCAATAGGATGAGGGAGGAGTTGGCTAAAATAGACTGGAAGCGAAGACTCAATGATGGGACAGTTGAGGAACAGTGGAGGACTTTCAAAGCAATTTTTCAAAGTGCTCAGCAATGCCAGTGAAAAGGAAGAACTGTAGGAAAATGGGGCAATCAGCCATGGATGTCTAAGGAAATAAGGTAGGGTATCAAATTAAAAGACAAGGCATACAAAGTGGCAAAGATCGGTGAGAAACTAGAAGACTGGGAAAACTTTAAAGATCGACAGAAAGCCACAAAAAAAGACTACAAAGAAAAGTAAGATAGATTATGACAGTAAACTAACTCAGAATATAAAAACAGACAGCAAAAGTTTCTATGAATATATAAAACGAAAAAGAGTGGCTAAGGTGAATGAGAGGATGAGAAGGGGTATTTAATAACTGGAAATGAGGAAATAGCTGAAGCACTGAACAGGTATTTTGTGTTGGTCCTCACAGTGGAGGACATGAACAACTTGCCAGTAATTGATGACAAAGAGACTAAGGTAGATGAGGACCTAGACACAATCATTATCACGGAAGAGGTGGTATTCGGCCAGATAA